GAAAAAGCGGAAACTGATAAACTTTAAGGCTGCTCTGTGGAAGAGGGTTAGGCTTAGACCAGGAAGTGGACAAGATAGAATTGGTGAGTGGACTTGAGAGGCAGATTTTCCCTCAGTGAGAAGAACTGTTTCATTGTTGGAGTTTTCTTAGAGTTGGTTGCCTTGGGAGATCATGAGAGATTCTCTGTCATTCGCTTTGAGGGACGTTTGTTGATAGGATAACACATTCTGGGTAAGGTTGGATTAGACTGAGGTCCAGTAGCTCCGGTACGTATAATACACCTGGTATCATCATCGTCCTGTCACCAGCCGCCCACCCCCTACTGCCCACCAAACTTTGATAGGCTTTATGAGTGCTTAAGCTTAAAACAGTGATTTTCTTAAAAAGATACAAAATTAAAATAGGAAGAGATGTTATACTTTTGTGGCCACAGATCAATAACAAATTGTTCTTTGTAAAGGTGAAACTAAAAACTGCTTTGGAAATCTCTTTTTGCAGTCCTCTTTTTATTCTAAAGCAATGGCTCCCAAACTTTGTTGATGACATTCCTATAAGAAATACATTTTACGTTGCCGTTTGCTACACACAGGAACACAAACACCTGAAACAAGTTTCAGGAATTTACCCTTATTTAGATACAGGTTTCTTTGATATTTTCTGTTTCCTTTTGCTTTTCCTTTTAAAATGCTGGTTATATAACAATAAATTCATTTCAGGACCTGGAAGTGGGTTGTGACCTACAGGTTGAAAAACGCTGTTCTATAGAATCTCATTCATTTGATGAACTGAGATGTTTACCACCTAGGTGATTAGTGAAAAGGGCTGTCTTGGCTATTTGGGGTTTCTCAGAACTCAGATTTCAAATGTACTTTAAGTGCCTCATGAGAAACTTGTTAAATTCTGAAAAGTTAGGAAAATGAGTTTTTTTCTTCTTCTTCCCTGCATTGACCAGAACAGTATAACTTCTAAAAGGTGAAAATGGAGGTATAGTCAGCTTGATTGAGCTAAAACATGTAGAAGATTGTGTGAAAGTCTCTCCAGTTTGCCATGAGAAACTGATTTTTTATTCTTTAAGTAGTATAAAGCTTGGGGTGTCAATAATTAAATGTGGGTTTATATTTGAAAGTTCTGCTTCCTCACCTGGAGCTTGTCATCTTTCTCCATATTTTGACGTGCAGGCTTGTTATAAAGTAGAGCTGGATTATGTGGTTTTAGGGTTTTTCTCATCTGTAAAGACCATTGGATGAGATAATCTCCAAGATGTGGTCATTTCCATCTGTGGAATGCTGTGATCCTTGACTCTTCAGAATGTTGGCTTTATATACCTTGCATTTCAGGAATCTTTGTTTTGGTCTTAGGTGGTTGCTGCTATAAGAAAGAAGCAGCATTTTGGGGGTAGACTTATCAGTATTTAGTAGAAAGAAGTTGATGATTAAGAGAGTAGAAGAAAAAAAATCCTATTGCTTCTAAACTGCTTGAGTTATCCACATTTGGTGCCCAAAACAGATCTTTTAGTGTACCCTGTCTAGCTTCCCACTTTACCTTTCATTTTTGCACTTTAAACCCATACAAAAGTGGAGGCTTCTCATCTCAAAACCCTCTTGATGATCATCCAAGAACTGGTTCATTGTGACCAAGGTCCATTCGGAATCTAGATATAGAGATTATATCAGCTTTTAATGTAAGAGAAAGCACATAATTGAAGTTTTTCTGTTCCTACATTTTGTATTTAAACATCGTTTTTCTTACTGGGTTACAGTTCTCTTTTCTAGTGCGGACTTTTAGACTTGTTTAGATGGAACTCCAGTTGATTTGAGTGACAGAAGTTGATCTGACTTGTATGGTGGGTTTAAAAGAGCTACTGCTGCTGCTTTCTCTGGCCTGAATGGTAACCTGAAAGCCGTCATAAGTTGGAAATAATATAAAAATGGGGAGGTATTTTGGTATTGCATTTCAATGAAATGAGCAACAAACCATTTAAAGACAATCTTTCTAAATGGTACTAGAACCAATACTAAGACACACGTATTTTAAAACAGAGTGACTTCATCATCATGTTCAAATAGTCGAGTGTCACTTGTTTCTGTAAGATGGCAGTAGTATTCTGGGTGGAGCAAGTTAGTGCTTACGAGTGATAACAGCTGCTGTTCATTGGATCAGTTGTACACCTCGAACTCAACAATCTTGAGAGAGAGGGATTGTTACTCCTATTTTACAGGTGAGGAAACGGAAGTTTAGTGAGGGGAGTAACTTGCTCAAGGACGTACAGTTAGCAAGTGGCAGAGCCAGGATTTAAACCCAGTTCAAAAATTTGTGTTTTTAACCTCTGTGCTATATTGAAATTTTGTGTTGTCCTCCCGGTTCTACTTGTTGATGCTTATTTTACACAGAAGAGGTTGGTTTGGCTTTGGCATTTAATTTAAGTAGTGGCATTTTGAGAAAGTAAGAATGTTTCTTTGTTTCCATCTAGAAGTAGAACTTCTTGTGCCCTCAGATTTAAATAATATTCTTAAGTATTACACCTCTATTCCAATATATCTTCTCAGTTTCCAGTTTACGTAGGAATAAGTTCATGAGAAATGTATTTCAACCCTAAATAAGGTAAATCTCCAAGTAATGGAAATAGTAGGTTGTTTTGAATAAACCTCTTTATTTATTTATTTTTTTTGAGACAGATTAGCCCTGAGCTAACATCTGCTGCCAGTCCTCCTCTTTTTGCTGAGGAAGACTGGCCCTGAGCTAACATCCATGCCCATCTTCCTCTTTTTTATATGTGGGATGCCTACCACAGCGTGGCTTGTCAAGTGGTACCATGTCTGCGCCTGTGATCCAAACCAGGGTTGGGGTGGGGGGCTGGAATAAAGCCCCCACAGACACTGAAGGAGGACTGTATTTAGTATGGAGGAAACTAAATTTTCTTTTGTTATTAAAGGTAGTGGGAATTAAATGTCTGATAGGCTGAAAACTCCAGTCACCCATACATCTCTTTACTGATACCCTTTCCCGCCCTGATCCTTTTCAGAGCCAAGTCAACTCAACAAATTTCTTGAATTTGGTGTTCTGGATAACGGAGAGGCAATCCCTGTCCTTAAGAAGGACATTTAGTGGGGAAGACAGATATTTAGTAGATATTCCTAGCATCAGTGAAGGGTTAAAGGTGTTGAGAGGAGGTGAGGTTGTATCTAATACGAGTGGGAGTGATATGAACAGGAGCTGCAATGAATTTGACTACTGTAGTACATACCTCATGTAAGTGGAATTGAGTCATATTTTTAAAGTTAACTTTCCTAATAGAATGGTATCTTTGATACATAAACTCAGCTTCTTATAACAAAACAGACAGTTGGAGGCTATTTTATAGTTTTGCATCTTGACTCATTGAAACAGTAAAGTGAGAAGATAATTCATTGTTGGTAGTCTAAAGAAAAACAAGGCAAATTTCCTTATGAGCCCTTCTCTTTTTCTCTTAAGCCAAGAGTGTAGCTATACTTTGCTCCACATCTAAGCCCTAAACGTGTGTTCAGAATTCATCCTTACCCTATCATTTTTGCATATTATATAGAAGTTGTACCTGTACTTGAATCCTTACCATCCTGTCTTTGAATTTAAATGGTGTCTTAATCTGTAAAAACGAGGACTATCCCGGGGCCAGCCTGAGGGCGTAGTAGTTGAGTTCAGTGTCTTCTGCTTCGGTGGCCAGGGTTCATGGTTTCGGATCCCAGGCGCAGACCTACACCACTGCAGCCATGCTGTGGTGGTGACCCACATGTAAAGTGGAGGAAGATTGGCACAGATATTAGCTAAGGGCTAATCTTCCTCAAAAAAAAAAAAAAAAAAGCCAGGGATATCCCTCTGCTCAGGTTTAAGTGTAGTTAGTGGTGTGCTTCTCGTAATCCTTTCAGTTTAGCTGTTCAGTATCCATTTAGTTACAGTGCATCTAAGGCTCTTTCAAAGCCAGGCTATTTGGATGCTAACAAGGAAGCTTTTCTCTCCCTCTAGAGGAGAAATTGGAAACTGTTAGATTTAGAATATAGAGTAGAAAAATGGAAATTAAGGTTTCTTTGAGATGTTGAAGATGCCTTACCTAGTAAGAAGCAGTTAAATTGTTGAGTCAAGTAGATAATGCAAATTTGTGAGACTTTAATATTTTTCTTAGTTACAGACTCTTTAATAACAAGCATCTTTTTATTAGTTAATTTTTAATCAGTTTTTAATTAGTTACTTTTTTTTCCCTTCCCCTTCTATGTGAGGCTAACTTACTGTCACCTTAATTTGTGTATTATAACATTTAACTGTATTATACTTAAAAATCACTTTGCGGGACTGGCCCAGTGGCACAGTGGTTAAGTTCGCACATTCCACTTCTCAGCAGCCGAGGGTTCGCCAGGTTGGATCCTGGGTGCAGACATGGCACCACTTGGCAAGCCATGCTGTGGTAGGCGTCCCACGTATAAAGTAGAGGAAGATGGGCATGGATGTTAGCTCAGGGCCAGTCTTCCTCAGGAAAAATAGGAGGATTGGGAGATGTTAGCTCAGGGCTGATCTTCCTCAAAAAAAAAAATCACTTTGCTTTGGAAAAAACTCGGTGATAAGATACATGTGTATGTGTATATAGCAGTAAGAATAAAACAACATTTATAGTTTTCGTTTGTTCATGTGATAGCATCTCTGTGTACGGTGAATAAATGTGGTAGTTTGGCTCATTTTGCTGTTTTATGTGTGTGTGTTTTGGGAGGTGGAGGTTATTTTGTGGGGAAGAACAGTACCTGTGCTGTCACTGGGGTGAGCAATATGGGAATTGTAGTTTGAAATAGTTTTGGTATAAGCTGCACTTCCCTGTAACGAGATGTGAAGTTTTTTGGCTGAGGTGGGGGCTTGTTGAAAAATAATTTTCAGAGAGCTAGTGCTAATTCTGTTGATAAAGTAGAAATGTGTGTTCTCGTATCTTAGAAAAGTCCTGTATTTTCATGATCTTAATTAGAGTCTCTTCCTTCTACAGAAATAGGAAGGTCGTTGATTATTCACAATTTCAGGAATCTGATGATGCTGGTAAGTTTTGTGATTTCAGTAAATTCTCAGTTGGACCAACTAGTGGAAGAATAACCAGCTTATGTACTTTCTTATCATGCTTTTGGAATAAATTTTGTTTTTTGTTTTTCAACTACTAATATATGTAAATTATGTCAAGATCTGTGTTACCCAAAATAAGCAAGTTGAACTTGGCATGAATTTTAACTTTTTCCTAGTAAATCATTGATAATAAACACTTGAATAATTTTTTTCTTACCTTGTTTTGGAGTCCAAAGTGCAATAATTCTGTTGCAGTGTCTATTACTTAATACAGCCCTTGCTATAATCACAGTAAAACTTGTACCTTGTAATAGGGAGTACTTAAGTTTTTTGATTAATAAAGTAACTAAGATGAGAGTATTTGGTGAAGTAACTTTGATTGGTGAACTAATTCATCATAGAATGAGTAGTGTATCTTACATCTTAACCATAAGGGTTTCTTGAGAATAAGTCCTTAATCTCATTTTCCAGATGCATTTACCATTATTTTTTTAATCTAATTTTACTTCATAAAGATAATATGTGCGTTTTGGGAAAACATAGAAAATGTAGAAGTGTGTAAAGAAGAATAAAAAATAACATGATCCAACCTCTCAGAGGTAATACTAACATTTATAAAATGCTTGCTAAATGTTTATATTTACTCATTTAATCCTTAGAACAATCCTGCCATTGACCAACAAGCCATTTTAACTTTTGTTAAAAGGGCCTTTTGCCTTTTTTCCTTTTAAAATTGTTGTTGAAGTCTTGCTATAGAATTTTGGGTTCTGTCCCCTCCCATTCCATCCCTGCTTATGACTTCATAACTTTTTCGTTATTAAAAGTTATTTGAGGGGGCTGGCCCCGTGGCCGAGTGGTTAAGTTCACGCGCTGCACTGCAGGCGGCCCAGTGTTTCGTTGGTTCGAATCCTGGGCGTGGACATGGCACTGCTCATCTGGCCACGCTGAGGCAGCGTCCCACATGCCACAACTAGAAGGACCCACAACGAAGAATATACAACTATGTACCGGGGGGCTTTAGGGAGAAAAAGGAAAAAATAAAATCTTTAAAAAAAAAAAAGTTATTTGAGGGGCCAGCCGTGTGGCCAAGTGGTTAAGTTCGCACGCCCTGCTTCGGCGGCCCAGGGTTTTGCTGGTTCGGATCCTGGGTGCAGACATGGCATCACTCATCAGGCCACGCTGAGGCGGTGTCCCACATGCTACAACTAGAAGGACCTGCAACTAAAATATACAACTATGTACTGGGGGCATTTGGGGAGAAAAAGCAGGGGGAAAAATTTTTTTTAAATTAGAAGTTATTTGGAAAGTTCCTGTTAGCGGTTGTATGATATTCTGTAATGGAATTTATAATATATCCAACCATGTAATAATTGCTAAAGCTCCAGGCTACTTCCAGATCTTCACCATTATATATAATGGTGTAGTAAACAGTTTAGGGAATAATCACTTTTTAAGGTGGGGTAATTTTCTTTAGTTTTGTAGGACTTTTGAAATTGGGAGTATTTTCCTCAACTGTCAAAGTATGCTATATTTAATGCTTTAGTTTAAAAGTAAACATAATTGATAACAATAATTGTGTCAGGATTGTAAAATTATGGGTTCTTTACATTCTAAGTGCTTGTAATATAACCGTATTACTATAATAGTTTTCAAATAAATATGAAGATGGGAAAATCTTTAATAAAAGGGTAGGATATAAAATGATGAGAGGTTTGGCTATGGATATATTAAAATGTGCACGAGTACTAGAGGGTAATATGCAAAATGGAAATGATTGAGTTAAGGTGGTGGGACTTGGGCAGAAAAGAACTTATTTTTTTAAAAATGAAAGAAAATGATTTGGGAAGTCCTGTCCCCTCACCATTTAAATAGCATAAGAGAGAATTATCTCAGTAAATACAGTAATAATTTCTATATGTAAAAATCATAATATTCATTAAATTTGAAAAAAATGCTCTGTTTAGATGAAGATTATGGAAGAGATTCGGGCCCTCCAACTAAGAAAATTCGATCATCTCCCCGAGAAGCTAAAAATAAGAGGCGATCTGGAAAGAATTCCCAGGAAGATAGGTAAGGGGCATTGTTAATCTGTTCTTATGCTGTCACCAGTCTGACATGAGGGTAGTATCTGATCTCTAAATTGGTGGAATCTCCATTTACTTTGGGAAAGTGTCTACTTAATGTTGTTTTGCTATTTCATATTATCTCAGGCAGTGCTTCTGAATCTGGAGGTTAGCCTCTTTAAGGTCATGAGGCTTGCTTGGACTCAGCCTGGAATCCAAAGTGATCTCCAAGAATGTCTTTGTTGCTACCTCCAGCCTCTGAACATAAGCAGAAAGATTGTTAAGTGTAATTTGTTACCTGAGGTTAGTATTGACATTTTCATTGTAATGACAGCAAAGAATAAGTGACCTTTCCCATTCAGTCACAGATCACTGGCAGAATCATAACTAAAGCTTATAGAATCTTCAGTTGTATAGCTTGCCAAGTTTTATTGTCTAATCAGTTCTTCTTCATTTAGATAATTTAATCATTTGAACAATTTCCCTTCCCTTGGTTTTATAAATGAGTTCAGATGAGTTGTAATTTTAACTATAATTGCCTTGTGAGAGCAGGATACTGTAGCTTTCACGTCTCCTGTTACAGGTATACACACGCACTCTCATACTCAATGTAGCATAACTTTAAGACCTCCTTGGTGATGGTGATGATGATGATGATGATGATGATGATAGCCACCATTTGTGATTATTATGTGCCAGTCTCTATTATGTGCTCATGTGTATTCATTATCTTTGAATTCCCACAACACCTTTATTAGGCTAGGTAACATTGACTTAGAGGGGCTCAGTGCTTTGTCCAAGGTTACCCAGCAAGTGGACCTGCAGGTTTTGAAACCATGTCTGTTGGACTCCAAAGTCCATTTTTTAACCATTGGACTATCTCATTTCCAAATAATACTATTAGTGTGGGTTGAGAGAAATGAAATAATATTTCTCACTAGTTCTTGTAAGATTTTTGTCTTCAAGCACTAAAATCACTATAATAGCCCCAGGTAGAAGCCATTACATTCTGAATTCACAGGAGACTAAATTTGTAGAAATAATAATATTAAATACATACATTTACCTAGAATTTCCTGTTTGCTTGTATTCTAACCTCTAATATTTTTTTCCTGCAGAATTTCAGAAATGTAGTTTTGAGGAAAAATAAGGCAAAATTATACTTGGGGAGACAAGTCTTCCATAGTTTCATAGTATATTTCTCTAATCCAGTTTATTGTAGCAACCCAACTTAGAACTGTCTTGCATTACATTCATTTATTATATTTCTCCTAGGAATAAGCTTCATGGCCTGTTATAATGTCTCATTGATGTAATTGCTATCTATTCTAAATTTTTTCTTATTGCAATCATTTGGTTTTATTATTCTCTCCTAAGTGTCAGAAATGGTTGAAATAAAGTACAGCTTTTATTGCCATTTGTATTAAGTGCCTTGTATGTTTATTCCCTTGGACCAGTATTATGTTGATTTTTTTCTGTTGGTCTCTATTTAAAAGTGCAGCTTTTACTTGACTTTGCTGTAGAATGGGGCTCACAGATTAATGAATGGTCTGTATAAACACAACAATAAAAGAACTAGAGAAAATCATACAGTTCTTTGTCATTGTAAGAGACTTGTGAATGAAATGCATAAAAACATTTCTATAGCATAGTCACAGGTTTCAGAATTAGAGTGTGTCTTGGGTAGATTCCTTAGTAAAGAAATAGGTTTGGTTTTCCTCTTTGCTTAGGAACCTTAGGTTCAGTAGTTTGTCATTTGAGTGTGGTCTACATTATGGGAAATACCGAAAGAGATTTACAAGACCTACTGTTGGAGAAAGGAAAGCTATGAAGGCAATTCTTGTGTGTGGTGGTTTCTTTTTTTGTCAGAATTTCTCATGGAATCGTAAAATTTTAGCACTGAATAGTACCAAGTGATTTACCTAAGATCATACAACTAATTAATGACAAAAATCCCAGACTCTTGAGTTAAGATTTCTGAGGACATAAAATGTGCATCTTTGTCAGGGGCCGGCCCCGTGGCCAAGTTCAGTTCACACACTCTGCTTCTGTGGCCCAGGGTTCAAATCCTGGGCACGGACATGGCACTGCTCAGCAGGCCACGCTGAGGCGGCATCCCACATCCCACAACTAGAAGGACCCATGACTAAAAATACACAACTATGTACTGGGGGGCTTTGGGAGAAAAAGGAAAAATAAAGTCTTAAAAAGAAAAAGTGCAGGGGCTGGCCCCGTGGCCGAGTGGTTAAGTTCTCGCGCTCCGCTGCAGGCGGCCCAGTGTTTCGTTAGTTCGAATCCTGGGCGCGGACATGGCACTGCTCATCAGACCACGCTGAGGCAGCATCCCACATGCCACAACTAGAAGAACCCACAACGAAGAATACACAACTATGTACCGGGGGGCTTTGGGGAGAAAAAGGAAAAAATAAAATCTTTAAAAAAAAAAAGAAAAAAAAAGTGCATCTTTGTGACTTAAAAATTATTTTATAAAACTTGCCGTTGGACTATGAAGCTCCTTAACTTCTTATTTTACTTTGCAGTGATCTCGAGCTCACTTTTATTTTCTCCGTGATACAAGGCAGGCCTGTGTGTTGATGTTTCTGATGTATAGAAATATTGGGTGATAATTAAGTGATTTTCATTTTTGTTTTAGATAAATTTTGAGGCATATTGTAGTATATATAACTGAACTGCAGTTTCCTCTAATAATTGTATTGTAGGTGTTTTTTCATCTATATTTGGTACTATCCAGTTTTTTGCCTACACTATCACCATTGACACATTATGTAATTTATTTAAGTATTTTTATACCCTGCCTCTGACAACAGAGAATTTTTTTCTTATTAAATGTTCTTGTGAACCAGGTCTTATATACAGGTGAGAAATTTTCAGCCTGTATTAAGATACCTTCTTTTTTTCCCTTTGGGTCTTTGGAAGCAGTGTTTTCCCAAAGTAGATAAAATTGTGCTGATTCACTAGCATCCCTGTCAAGTAGGGAAATAATGGAAGCAGTTTCACTCCTCAGCATCTGTTTGAATATTTTATGTATAAAAGAGATCTTCTTCACTCTTCTCCGGTCAGATACCAAGAGGTCTATGTTCACTTAGATTTTGATCTAAGACTTTTAAACTTTTTCTCCCTTCCCCTTACAGTGAGGACTCAGAAGAAAAAGATGTGAAGGCCAAGAAGGATGATTCTCACTCAGCAGGTAGTAAACAATTTTTAATGTAATAGGTGTAATTCTATTTATGTATTTGTTGAACATTTTAATAAGTGGTTTTGTAATAATGCTAGGCACTGTTGAAAATACTGGCATTACAGACTTTACGTTTCCATCTTTGAAGAGCTCATAGTGATGTTCAGTCTTGATGGCTTATTGTAGTCACATGTGAAGGTTTTTTAACCTACTGCTTATGCTCCATCCCACCCCAGGATTTCTGGTTCAGTAGGTCTAGGTGGGATGTTGAGGCTTTGTTTTTTAAAAGTATTTACAGATTATTCTCATGTATAGTCAAGAATAAAAACCATTTATATGAACAAATAAAAGACATCAAACTGAATAGAATAAGAATATATATAATACTAAGTGAAATAGAGGTATTAAAAAGAGAGAGTGATCAACTCTGGATTGAAAAGTACACAAAGGTTGGTTTCAGTCCTACTCTTGTTAGCTGAGAGGTAGACCTTTGAAACCGTTAGCCACAGATAAAGCTTTTGTAAGAATTTTAACTTAAAAGAATTAATGAGGAGACTTCATGGCCAAATAAAATGTTAAATCCTGATTATGTATCGTTGGTATTTATTTTTTTAACTTGAACTCTTCTACGAATTGAGAGTTTATTCCATGTTGCTCCCACCCACTTTAGTTTTGATCTACGTTCTCCTGCTTTTGCCTTTCTAGATCTGCCTTTAAACAAGGCTGCTATTTAGCCGATATTTAGAGGGTAGACCAAGTTCCACTGAGTCCACTCTGCTGAGCTGTTGTGCTCTCATTCCTTTTCAAGTCTGCTATCTCACTGCCTAAGTCCAAAAGAAATTATATTAACCTTTTGCACTATCTAGTGATGTTGTGATAATATAATATACATTTTTATTCATGTGCCTTGTGAATTTTAGTTTGAATCTCTTACATTTCTTAGTTTATTGAGCACTTCAAGATGAATAACTGTACTGGTGTTAAACACAGCTGCTCCCAGGTGGATTGAGTTTTGAGTCTACTGAAGTCAGTTTTATTCCCTGTGTCTGTTTGTCTCTAGATGAGGTTTTTGACAGTGAAAGTGATGACTTGAACCCAGACCATGGCAAGGCTTATAGGACTACAAGTGTTTCCTGAAGAGCAACAGCTAAACCTTAACAGAATAAGGGAGCCTCAAAGTCCAGGAAAAGGCCATAGGTGGAGACTAATACAAGTATACCTTGGTGTAGAGCCAATAGGCTTCAATCACATTTATTCACAAACACAACTGTGTGTTGAAATTTCTTTTTAATTAATAGACTATAGTATGTGACAGTAATTTTTTTATTATGAACTTGTATTAAGATCTAGTTGAGGGGCTGGCTTGGTAGCGCATTGGTTAAGTTCGCACATTCCACTTTGGCGGCCTGGGGTTCGCATGGCACCACTTGTCAAGCCATGCTGTGGTAGGCGTCCCACATATAAAGTAGAGGAAGACGGGCACGGATGCTAGCTCAGGGCCAGGCTTCCTTAGCAAAAAGAGGAGGATTGGTGGCAGATGTTAGCCCACGGCTAATCTTCCTCAAAAGAAAAAAAAAAGATCTAGTTGATCTAAATATGTGTTTTAAAGATTTCCCTCAATACTCTCTAAATTGAAATGGCCATGCCTCATTCATTGAAAAGGGTAGTGGTCTGCATTGTTTTAGGGTCTGCATTTGTGTGTCTTAGTATAAATATCATTGGAAGACAGGCTTCCCCTCTTCTACTATTTAAAAATACTTTTCTAACTTTAGTTTCTAAAAACTGAGCATAGATTTGAATGTAATTGAGAATTTCAGGGCACAGCAATGATACAAGTTTAAAGTTATGTTGTAGAAAGCATGTGTTCACACCTTACTTTGGCTATGTTATTACTTAAAACTCTACATATCTAAGTTATTTTATGTTTAATAGTGGACAGAATCTTATTCAAGTTGATGCTTTGAATTTTAGCTCCTCTTTTGTATATTTTCTAGGCACTAAGGATAGAATTGACCCTTTTTGAGTGAAATAAAGCTACAGGTTTTCTCTCATCCTGGCTGTTCTAGTCAGCTGTCGAATAAACACACATCTCTGATCATTGGTTCTAATTTTGATGTTGCAGAGGACAGTGAAGACGAAAAAGAAGATCATAAAAACGTGCGCCAGCAGCGGCAGGCTGCCTCTAAAGCAGCTTCGAAACAGAGAGAGATGCTCATGGAAGATGTGGGCAGTGAGGAAGAGCAGGAGGAGGAGGACGAGGCACCATTCCAGGAGAGTACGTAGTCGGCTTGTGTCTTTGCAGTTTGTGACCTTGATTACTTCAGCAGTTTTGTGGATGCTAAATGTTACAACTAGTCCCTTGAATTAGATGCTCACTGGTTCAGAGACTCTCATGATTATGATGTTCATCCTTTGTACTCAAATACTGAATGAACAGGGGCTGACCCCGTGGCCAAGTGGTTGAGTTTGCACTCTCTGCTTCGGTGACCTGGGCTTTCACCGGTTTGGATCCTGGGCGCAGACACGGCACCACTCATCAGGCCACACTGAGGTGGCGTCCCACATAGCACAATCAGTGGCACTCACAACTAGAATATACAACTATATGCTGGGGGGCTTTGGGGAGAGGAAAGAGAAAAAATAAACAAAATAATTTTAAAAAAGAGATTGGCAACAGATGTTAGCTCAGGTGCCAATCTTAAACAAATGACTGCATGAACAGCTGTTAGAGCAACAGTCGCATGGTGAGTGTTGTGATTAAGGTTAGTATTTTGGCCTGGTGGAGAAGGGTGTAGGCCTCCCTCGACAAAACAGTATTAATAGCAGAATTTAGATCTTTCACAGGTGATTCAGGTTAATTATATGTATTTTTGCTTTGTATGTAGTTTTCTTGTTTCATTTATTCATAGTTGGACCAAACAAACCAAGTCAGTTCAGTTTCATTTTCTGGGTCTCACCAGTACTATATGGGAATGATGGAAATACAAGTTTCTTGATGGCTTCAATTTTTATTCAGATTAAGTCTTATCTTTTCCTGTTTTTGACCTACTCTTCAAACAAGTCAGTCATATAACCCTCATGTGCGTGCTAAACTCATTTTACAGGTGGGGCCAGTGACAACTCCAACCAGATTGGTAGTCCAGCTGCAAAAAGAATCCAAGAGTGTTTGACTCCCAAATCCCATCCTCCAGTCACTCTTAGCACTCTCTCCCTTGGTTCACTGGAAGGATGTATGCATTAAGCTGAACGTTGAAATTCTTCTTTCCTCTCAGAAGATTCCGGCAGTGATGAAGATTTCCTAATGGAAGACGATGATGATAGTGACTATGGCAGTTCAAAAAAGAAAAACAAAAAGATGGTTAAGAAGTCCAAACCTGAGAGGAAAGAAAAGAAAATGCCCAAACCCAGGCTAAAGGCTACAGGTGAGCTCTGCAGAAATGAAAGTTAAATTATTGCTTTGAAAAATTTCAAGAACCAATACACTCTCTCTACAGAAGTTCTTCGTTAGGGCTTGGCATTCACCACATACTTAAGAATTCTGAAAGGATCCTGTCTTCTACACCTGGAAGTATCGCTTATTTATTAATGAGGAGTCCAGCCCCTCCAAGAGTCTGGTAGCTTAGCCCTGTTCTTCAGCTGCCGCCAAACATAAGCAGGATTTGAGGATGACCTGTTTGTGTCAGGCATAGTGATAGAAACACTGTGTTAACATAGCTATTGCTACCCTTTTCCCCCCCCGATACTACAATCCCAGCAGCTAGTGAAGACATGAAGTTGTGAAAATGTACACCTACAGTAATACATTGAAGTTCTGTCGTCTGATCCCTGGACCACCACGTATGCTAGCAGAATGAAACCGCACTTGACAACACGGATTCATTTTCTTTGAGCCCTTGTGGTTTCTGCCAGATATTCTCCTAGGTGGAGCTAGTTTGTCATTACATCAGAAAGCTGGATTTGTTTTTTGGGTTTTGTTTTTTTTTTTTAATTCTGGCAAATAGAACTGGTGATTTTTAAACCTTTTACTCATCATTTCTTACTGTTGGGAATGATGGAACTATCAAGTTATTTGATGGCTTCAGTTTCTACTCAGATTAAGGTGTATCCTTTCTTCTTCTTGATTCACTTTTTAAACACAGACAACTTTTATCATAAACAGCTTTTAGTTTTACAAGCCACTAAGAATGATGCGCAGTTTCTGTAGCATCCTGTTGGTTTATTACAAGCATTACTGCTAACATAACATTACAGTGTTGGTAAAAAGTGATTGGAAACCAGTGCCCACCTTGGTTTTTAGTAACTTGGGGTATTGTCTTTATAGATTTTATTCTTACAGATTGTTTTGTTTTGTAGCTGATTTTTATTAAAGACATTTTCTTCCTTCCCTTCCCCAAACTGGTATTTTTCTTCTTTCAGTGACGCCAAGTCCTGTGAAAGGCAAAGGGAAGGTGGGCCGCCCCACAGCTTCAAAGGCATCAAAGGAAAAGACTCCTTCTCCCAAAGAAGAAGATGAGGAACCAGAAAGCCCTCCAGAAAAGAAGACATCTGCAAGCCCTCCACCCGAGAAATCTGGGGATGAAGGGTCTGAAGATGAAGCCCAGTCTGGGGAGGATTAAAAATGATGGTTTGGGGAGAGATTTTATTAAAAAAAGAGGGAAAAAAAGGAAAAAAGAAAAAAAGAGGAGGGGGAAAGAAAACCTACTTAAGGTAGAATATGGTTTTGGCTATGGCTTGACTCATGGGCTTTCAATGCTTTTTTCCTTTTGTTGAAAATAACATTTTCTCTCTCTCTCTCTCTTTTTTTTTTTAAAGAAAACCATTGTATGTTTAATTTACCTTTTTGTCTATTGGTCTTCTTTTTGCCCCTGCCCTCTTCCCCTGCCCTCTTCCCAATGAAAGCCATGTCAAATTAATCACTGGATTGACTACTTCATCTTTTTATGTTTAATGGAAGGTATACCACAGTTGTAAAGCAATAAGATTTGGATGAACATATGGAAATTTTGCTTTTTGCTAAATGGTAGCAAGTTGAACAGTGATCAAAAAACATAGGGTTTTAGTTAAAAATGATTGCTTCTTTCTCTACCTGGACTTTTTAAAAAATCAATTGTCATCTAATACGAGTTTATATATCTGTATAAAAAGTATAGATATCTAAAAAAAATCATGACTTTAAACTTCCACTGATGGGGCAGATAGGAGATAAAGATGAATTCTGCGTTGTTACTAAAAGTATTCGTATTTTTTACCTTGGGGGCAGGGCAGGGAATGGGGTTACCTGACCTTGTTTGAGGGTATGGGTTTTTTTTACTTCACTTGTTATCTCAAAGAGACTCGGAGCCAGCGATCCTTTTATCCTGCTACAGTCTTTAAGGAACTTAAAAAAACAAAAAAAGCAAGGGCCGCCAAAACTTAAATTACTTTTGATTTTTTATTTCATTCTCTAATGGTTCATGTTCTAAAATATATATGTATCTATTCTGTTTCTTGGATAAGATTTCACCAAGGATCCAAAAAAAAAAAAGCCTAGAATTTAAATGGTAAGATCTATATGCATCACAGTGGATTTCTTCTTAAACTGACAGTGTTTAGGTTTTAAGCAAATAAAGTACCAGTTAATGTGAAACTCAATCACAAAGACTTGAGAATTTCCTTTATGAAAAACAGGGAATTGAAATTGTTTTATGCCATAGGTATGCATTCAGATCCCATGAACGATGCTCTGTTTTTATTTGGGGATAGAAGTTTTCCTTTTCATATGCCTATCTTCCCATTTCTTCATAGAAGCGTGGTATGCAGTGCATCTTGGCTTCTTGCTACTTTATCGGACACCACTGCACACCCACTCCCGTGCCTACCTGCTCTGCTATGGGACGTGATTTCTCCTGGCTCTGTTTTTCACTGCTTCACGTCCTGTGCTTGATGGGAGTGTGTCAGATGCTGCTCCCACACTATTCAGTGTGCTTTCATCTTTTTTACTGGTGCCCTTGCTTACTGCTCATGTTGCTTAAAGCAGGAGTTTTTAAGGGGCGTAGCAGGGCTAGAGAAACCGTGCATTCAGGAGGCCTGTGGGCAGTTGATTACAGACTCTTCACATGCCTCGTGAAAGCAGTTGGGAGATAGATCTGTAAGTTTGGTCCTCCACATCCTGATGCCATGAGCTAATGGGAGCAATGTTAGGGGTCTTAGTGTGCTAATAAGTGGAAAAATTAGTGAAATTTAACCTCTGCCTTTTTATCTGGGTTTGCTTCCTTAATATCTTACTTATGCAGTTTTCTTTCTATCTTTTAAGTTACGGCATATTTTTCTCTCAGACAACTTGGCTTTCTTGCAGATGTTCCTAGGACGAAAGGTTATTTAAGGAATACTTTTACTCTGATTTTTAGGACACTTTAAGGAATATCCTTACTCTTTGAATTTTTTAAAAACAGTGGCAGAGAGCCATTTCACTGTTGCACGGTGTGCTAAAGAATGAATTTGGAGAGTTATTGCTTGGCCAACAATGCAAAATTTGAACGTAAGTAGCAGTTGGATTACTGTGTTTTCATGATGGTTAACTTTATAGTTGTGAACTTCGTAATGAGACTGTTAAAGTTGGTTCTGTTGCTTCAGTGGCTTTGTTCAGGTATCAGTTTTAACAAGGAGTTTTGTGTTTATACAGTAAAAGACCTATCAGTGTTTCCACCATGCACTTCTATTTTTAGGGGTTTATAACTCTAAGTCTTACATTCCTAGTGACATTGGGCTTTTCTTAGGTTATGTTTCGTGCAGGGTGAAGGGAGGGGTCTTTTTAAACTTTAGCCTTGGTATTTTATGTAACACGCTCTTTCATGTGTTAATCTGTACTAACATCCCTGTAACATGCACATACTTTAGAGGTGATCGCGTCTTCTAGGTTACTTGTTGCATTTGGTTGGGCTTTTTGTTTGGGATCCCTTTTTAAAAAGTTAATTCATGAGATTAAAAAATGTCATATATTTCTAATAGACTGGACAAAAGGATCTGTATCCTCAAGCGAGACAGGCTCTGAATGCCCTTTGTTTTCTCCACTTTTTATTGATGATTTAAAACACTCTAGTCTTCCCCTCAGATCGTGCATGCAAATAGGAGGACAGCTGTGGTGTCTCAACTGGAAACAGGTGCTCAATAGTCAGGCTAGATAGTGATGTCAGGACAGGTTACAGGCTCTAAGCTAACAGTAACTGGCCATTGGCACCACCCTTGTCTGAACTCCCTCTTTTTCTCTCGTGTGCCTCTGGTGAAATGGCAGTAGCATTCACTGTCTTGTTTTGCAGTGCTCAGGAAGTGGGACATTAACTTTGAAGGTGCTTGTTTGTGTTATCTGAATTCTGTATGTTAGCTCTGTTAGGTTTACCTCTGGAACATGGATTTCGGCAGCTATGCTGACTGACACTACATTCTAGATTCTTTTTTTCCAGACTTCTCCCTAACACACACGCAGCTAGAAATGGGTAGCTCACATCTTAGGAAATCTGTCTGTAACTTGCTGCTGCTTTTAGCCCTCCCCACCTCAGATTGGAATCGATGGAGTGGGCCCAAAGGATACAGTTTAATTTCAGTAATGGTAGATTTGCCCTGCTTTCTGAAACCTCTCTCGTTCCTATCTCTACTCCCTATTGAGTCCATGAAGGAAAATTTAATGGGCGTGTCCTCCTTTAGGGGGGTAATGAGTGGCAGTCTTTCAATGTGGAAGAATAGTTGATTTCCCATGAAGGAGCTTTGATACTGATTTTTTTCCCCCCATAATAACTGGCTTGCCCCAGGTTCAATCCTCAGTTCAATGCTTATTCTCGGTACTGGTTCAAATAGCATTTTCTTATAGAGAAATCTGAAGTTAGAGTTCTGTAAAGTTTTTGACACTCTTGTGGGTATGGTCAGCTAATCTGAACTTGACGCTTTTACGTTTCTTTTTTTATCCATGAACATTCAAGTAACAAGTGGATTTTAGAGGACTGGTTGGGGAAAGGGAATAGTGCTTTTCTTTAAACAAACCAGTTTAGGGGATGCGTTGAGAGACTTAGGAAGGCAAGAGCAGAGTTTAATACCTGGAGCGACAGGGAAAGCTTTGTGAAAGGCCATGTGGCCGTTGTTGCTGTTGTGAGAAATGGGAGTTTTGATTTGAACAGTTCTTTCTGTGCCTGCATCACCAGTAGCTGCACTGAGAAGAAACTATCATCTTAGGAATTTGGAAAGGAAGAAACCTGGGCTCTGGTCTTTATGGCTATCAGACGGATACTTAAACAGAACGGGTAATACACATTTCCTGCCAAGGGATATGGAAAATAAAACAAGATAGTTGCTCTTGAGGTGAGGAAATTGTGCTTTTCTCTGTGCATGGAGCTGGGTTTATTTGAAAAGGGAGTTAGTTTATCGTTTGACTATTGGACATCGAGCCAAGTTTCAATCTGCAACCCATTTTCCCCTTGTCTTGGGATAAACTTGATACAAAGTGACTTTTTAAATCCCTAAATTACACTTTTTTTCAAAGCCTAGTTCACAAAATTCACAGCGGTGCTGACTGTGTATTAACCACTATTGGGAGAAGTCCCATAAACCTGCCTGTTGCCATGCCAATGGAGTGACTGAACTGGTGACATCTGTTTGAGCATGCTTTGTGTGGCTGGTGGAATGCCACCATTGTGCATACACTTTGTACATCAGGGGTGAAGGGAGGGTTTTCTAGATTATGGGGGGAGGGTAAAATTGGGATTCTTTTTGTTATTCCTTTTTCTTTGGGGTGTAGGGGTATAGTACTCAGCTTATGCCCTAAATAACATATATAAAAACCCCCGAAGTATTGTGTGAGTGTGTGTGTGAGTGTGTGTTTGTGTATGTCTGGCAATTAAACCTTTGTCTTCTGGAAATCAGTGAATTTTTTTCTTTTTTTCCTCCAGAAGTATTTGTTACAAGATTTGTAAATAAGAGCTCTACTTAGTTTGTTTACCATGAACATGTTGCAGCAAACCTTATACACCTAATTCCTGCAAGATTTAAGGAAAGACTTTAAGATTTGCCAGGTTAAGCAGCAGCCAAGTTCTCAGTAATTGCCTTGATTCATCTTTCAGACTTCATTTTGCCAGCTCTAAAACTCCCAGTCTTCCTTGATTTTAGTCCTTAATCTTTTACCTTCTGAACAGGAAGGGTAAAAGAGAGGACCCTGCTTAGAAGTATTTAATTAGTCCATGGGCTGAGACCAGGGCAATCCCTTTCTTAATACTGCAATGTTGCTGAGTATGTGATCAGACACCAGAGGGTTGGGCATTCTTGCAATACCTTAACAGTGCTGAAATCTGCAGCATGGCGCTAAGGAAGTAAAAGTTTGAATGTAACCACTTTATTTAAAAGGTTTTTTTAATTTAAATGAAATGGGGTTGAAGTGAACATGATTTTGTTGACCATGTTCGTGAATTATAGATGCAACATGCATTGGTAGACTTGTGTGATGGTCTTTTGTGATACTTAATTTTTACATATCCCAGTCTGTATGTATCTGCATAGACAAAGAAAAAACAAACTCCTGCTTTCTTTTATTGAAGGGTTTCCAGGACTGCGTGTCTGCTCCTGAGCTCTGTTTTAAGTATGTGTATCCTTTGCTTGTATTTTGTATTAAAAACTAAGAAAAAGAACCCTTTATTGTTGAGCATGTTGGCATTGTCCCCATTATTTTTTTTCTTTTTGGGACATATAAAGCAAGTTATTCTTTTTCTGTATCTTTTTTTCTTTTGTAAACTTTTTTTTGTTTTGTTTAAAAATGGCTTTATAAAAGGGCTTTTATAACCCAGATGTGTGCTCTGTGTACTTCTTGTAATACTCTCAAGCAAATACAGTGACTTATTATACGGCTGATCGCCTTGGCCTGTCAGCTCGCAGTCCGCCTGACTTTGGTGGGGAACCTGCTTCCGGAATGAATTCTTGAGAAACTAGCAATGACCATTGCTGTTGTTGGTAACAAGAAAAGAAAACAAACAAGTCAAAAGCAGTAATCAATACTTACTTCAGAGCGTGGAATCAGGAGGCAGTAGAGTTACTAACCTTCGCTTAATCGAGGGGGCTCTGGACTGAGTGCATGCGCATTCCTAGGAACCATTTTTCTCGTGTTCATATCCAAGGTTATGAAGCGTTGTGGAGGGCAAAATTCACCAGTCATAGTACAAACATTTGTGTTCAATTTCAAGTACCGGTAAGAAATATGCTCACTGTCTTGCAATTTAGAATTAAATATAACTTCTTAGATGGAGAGCATGGTACATGATCCCTCTTTAGAACTGGGCTGATATTGTAGCTAATAAGCCTCTTTACTTTTTGACCTTTCCCTTTGTTTACATTCTTGCATTGTCATCCAAATACTGTAATTAACATGCAGACTCACCTTGGCTTTGAATTGAAATGTTTCTTGTATGCTGTTATCCCTCAATGACTAACTTTACTTTTATTTCTTCTGGAGTTGTTTGTCCCCTGTCAAAGTTGGCTTCAGAAGGACGTTAACCAGCCACTTCTCCTCATAATCTCTAGGTGTTTTATGATTAACATACCAAATTTCTATTTCAGTACAATGCTGAAGAAATACAGTCTGATTTAAAGGATTTTGAAAAGCGTCAGGTGGATAAACTTCAGAGGCATAGATGTCGGGTTTGATAAAAATACATTTGGAGCTCCCTCGACTCATCCGTGAACATTATTACTATACAGTAATGTAACACTGTAGCTGTGCAGCATTTTGCAGTTTATGAAGAGTTTTTATTTACTTATTGCCTCATTCAATTTTCCCAATAACTGTGAGATTGGCCAGATGTTTGTCATTCCTCCAATTTTGCAGAAAATGAACTGGCTCAGGTAGGGTGTGATTTGACGTGACTAGTATGTGGTACAACGGGGGTTTGGATGGGGTTGTGAGTTGTGTGCGCTCTAAGTTGGCACAGCTGTCAGTTCTAAAGCCAGCGCCCGCTGTCGTGTGTAATGGGTCCCTGGAGCCTTCTTCCTGGCGGTGGCCCTTTGAGCGCTGTGCTGTTCTTCGGCATCTGAGTGATGCCGGAACCAGTCGAACGAGTTACATCAAAGAGTTAACGGGAGAAGTTTTTTTTCAATGAGGTATGAAAATTTCTTGTTAAATACTTCAATTTACTTGAAAATCCCTGTGGTCCCCAGATACAAAGCTTCAAATTACTTAAAAGCTTTTATGTTGTGATTGTCTTAAGATAGTGACAGTACAGAGGAAAATATTAGTCATCTTGACTATATGGTCCTTATCTTCTGCCAGTAGAGGGCAGTGCTGGTCCTCCATACACTTAGCCAGGGGGGCTGTTGCTCACCTGGTCTCATTTTTAGATACTATCCCTGGGGCTCAGCATGCATGGTATCAGGATATTGTGCTGCCTGTTTGGGTTAAGGAAGTTCTGGGGTCAGTGTGCCCACTCAATATCCAAGTGCATGCAGCAGCAATCATTTCTGGATTTTAAGTGTGAAATAGGATCTCTTGATTTGTGCACATCTGTCTGCTTATGTTGTTTCCTTTTTACAATTCCCAAACTTATGTGAATAACATCCCCAAATCAGTGTATATGTTGAGATTTCAAAATACAGCCATGAACTCTTGTCCCTATTTTGTAACAGGTGTTGTCTTTTGAAGTTGCCCTCCAGCTCAAAAAATCCTGTCCTGCACAAGCAGTACTGATATGTGTTCACATAAAAGTGGTGCCTTGTGTTACTTTATCATGATGACATACTTCTCTTTCCCTCTGTTATCTTAATAGAATGGACAAGTACCCATTTAGATATGCTTTGGCTGGGCCACCACCCGGAGAATTCAGCATTACTCATGAGTGTACCCCTGTTTCAATATTGAAGTCCTGGACAAATATTGTGAAATAAATGTGTTAATTCTAGGGTAGGGAGTCAGGGTACGGCCAGAGTTTCCATCCTAGTAAAGCAAATAATTACTTAAAAATATGATAACGTAAAATGTTGGAAAGTAATAGTATGCCTTGATTTAGCTCTAAGCTGGCACCCAGAAATGATTTGTTTAAAAATCTAACTTTAGGGGCCGGCCCCATGGCCTACTGGTTATGTTCACACGCTCTGCTTCGGCGGCCCAGGGTTTCGCCAGTTCAAATCCTGGGTGCGGACATGGCACCGCTCATCAAGCCACGCTGAGGTGGCGTCCCACATGCCATAGCTAGAGGGACCCACAACTAAAAATACACAACTATGTACTGGGGGGCTTTGGGAGAAAAAGGAAAAATAAAATCTTTAAAAATCTAAGTAGATCAAGGAAGATTACATGTATGTTTTACTATTATTGATAATGGTTTTAGCTATTAAGTTGAATATCTGTATGTGTCTGGTAGTTACACTTTTCCACCTTGGGTAGGAACAAGGATATGTAGTCCGTAATCAGGGCATCCTGCTACAAGAGGTGAGGATGGATGGGTTAGGTAAGGCTCTGAAGGAGGTAGAAAGTCATTGGAACAAGGAAAATGATGGCCTAAATTTTAGGCTGATTACCAGTCTTATGACTGTAGCTGATTGGTTATGTAGTAAGTAATTCTCATCCATAATGAACTGAGCATGTACAGTGATATTATCAATAAAACATAGATTGTGAAACACTTGTCTTTACCCAAAAAGTATGTAGAGACAGGACATACACTGGATCCTCACTTTGTAACTATAAATTGGTTCTCTTGCAGGTCACTAATTCAGCCTAATGGAATAAAATACTAAGCATTTTTAAAATATGGTTTTACTTCCAAAGCAGTTAAGGATAATGATATAGAGAAGCTCTTCTATAAGAACTAAGTGTATTTAGGAGTTGTGGAGGACTCAGTTAACATTCTCCTTAGATCTCAGAACATCATCTGGAGCTGCAGTAACCTGACTTAATATCTAATGCATGCCACATCTCAGTTACAAACTCCAAGCTCCCCCGTCTAGTCTTTTCTTCCTGCCACTGATCTCATTTACTGCTATCTTTTCCTTCTCGTGTTTTTATGAATGAACAGTTTCCATGGAGTTAGTGTTTTTGAGGCAAATATGTTGTTTATACATGAACCAGGTAGCCCTAGGAGTGGTTGGGGAACCAGCATTCCTGCAGAGAGCCACGCAGTTGGCCCAAGTACAAGATAAATAGCATTTCCTGGTAAACCTGGAACAATGCAGAGCTTAGATTCCAAAGCTCCATTGTAGGGAACTGCTGGTGCGACTTCAGGTATGCGGGATATACACAGCACCTAGTTAAAGAGAGTGGTGGTTGTCCTAGACCTTGCACAATGGGCCAGTCTTGGCCATCAGCAAAGCAGGTCGTTCTTTTGCTCATCCTGCTTTCCCTCATTCTCTTCCCACACCCTCAAATGAAGTAATAAGACCTAATATTTGGCTCCTGGGCCACTCACTCTTTAGAAGTCAACACCATTGAGCAGTCACTGAAGCAGGTGTCCTGCTCTGGGAGATTTAAGTCTGAGTGGGAACACTAATAATGGCTGACAGTGGAAATGAGAACTCCTAGAACATCTCTTGCTTCTAGAATTCACCTCTGAATTAGCCAGCAATATTTATTGACAATGAAAATCTTGGTGACTATAATCCAAACCAAAAATTGGGACCTGTGATATGATGAAGAGCTTTGTCCTACTCCCCAGTAGGAAAAACAGTTGAAGATACAGTTTGGATCTCAGAATACTGGCATTTCTGGAATAATTTTATGGCTTAAGGAACTAAAGCATGAAATATTTAAAGTGGGATTATTCCAGGAAATGTATGTGAGTAGTATAAAAACTGCAACAGGTATTAAGCAGCAGAGTTGAGGATAGCACATAATGCTTACGATAGCATGAGAGTCCTTTGTTTTATTGAAACCCACAATTGCCTTTCTTTGTTTTGTGACCTGCTTTCAAGAAGCTTTGGCTGAAGCAGAAGATCCATTTACAGGATGATCTTGGGCAAGTCACTTACTCCCCACTCCCGTATCCCACCCCACCCCATGTACGATTCTCCTTTTTATATAATAGGGATAACAAAGAACTAATTTTCCTCTGCCTCCATGGGACACTGTGAGAGTGCGTGGGGCTGTGTGCACCTAACTCTGGAAAAGAGGCTCTCTATGCACCTAAATTACTGTTGGCATTGTGGACCAACTGGCCTCAAACGAAAGCAACAGAGTACCTCTAGGCAAGGTACAGGGCCAGCAGAAACCTCATTCCTGCAGAACTGAAATCCTTTTAGCTTTGTCTCCAAAGTATAAATGAGTTATTTATTAGTAAGAACACTCTTGCTCAAGGATAAACTTTAACCAGCCCACAATATAGGGTGGCTTTAGAGGGGAGGGAAGGGTGACTAACTCCCGAGGCACCTGCGCTGGGAAGAGTTTTGCTCAGTACTGTCAAGTTCGCAGAACTGATGGGAGTCTCCATGGTCTTCAGCTTCTCATAGGAAAAAAGTCACCCAGTGGTTACAAACTGCTCCCAATTACGGGACATATATTTCAAACGAGGGAGCACTCATTTAGACTGGAAAACTGATTAGAAGTACGTGTCAGTAGCATATTTTTGGTACGTGAAATCACCATATTTCCGTCTCTGGTCTTTCAAGTTTAACACCAGAAAGGAAGCCACAAAACTATGTATCAGAGCCGTTATCAGGGACAGAACCCAGGGGCCCAAATGAAGTGTGTCACTGATGTGGTGGCATCTGTGTTCTCACGGTGCTGGGGCCTCGCTCGATGCTTTCTGTGGAGGGCCCTATCAGGACGCCCTTTTACAAAGGAACAGCATCTTGGCAACTGAACCC